TACTAGACCTTGCCGTTGATTTTCATGTTATGATTGATGAAAATCAAGGGTTTCGTTTCGGCGGCAATAATTCCCACTCCCACCCCTCCATATTTTTTCCGGAAATGAGCTTCTCCATTCGCAGCGGTTTTTCATTAAGGTCCTGATATTGTCGTCTGTGTTGTGAGATGTAGGTTTGCTCCAGAAAGAAAATCTTCTCATCGGCCAGGAGGGAGTTTTCCAGACGGCACGCTGCGCTTATTTTCAGCGACTCCTACGCGTTTTCAATCTGTCCCTTTGACAACATCAGCTGTTCCCCTTATACATGCAGTGAACGGATTTTATAATCTTCCAATTGAAGACTGGACAGTTAATCAATTTTGAGAATATCTGTTACAGATTTCTTGCTTTGCTTTAGCTCGTTTAGTTCGGTCTTCATGACAATTGATCGAGTCCTACTAGTACTGACAGAATCGTAGCAATTTTTGGTCTCATATTGATATACCCTTCCTCCTTGAAGTGTTCCGCAATCTTTCGACAGTGATCAACGGTGTTTCTATTCGTTCGGGAATGTTTCAATTAAACTGCCAATTTGTGCCGCGTGCGCGATACCTTCTCGATACGGTCAATGTTTGGTTTTGCCTAGAAACAATTTGCTATCAGAAGAGGATACAAATGCAAAAAAATAATAGCAGAATTAGTCAAGAAACCACAAACTTCAGCTCACAAGCTAACCGTCCATACTTCTCGGCCGCCCTGTGTTTCCGCTTCACCCAGAGGTCTTCGGGGCCGTATTTGATATACCCCGCTGGATGAAGGGGATTTCTTGCCTCTGGGGGGGTGTTTTCTGTTGTTGACTTTTCTCGGTTCTTTGCATTTCGCGTAGCTCCGTCATTCCCCTGTTCGCAGCCAGTTTTTTGGAGAGGGAAGAGACTCGGGGAAGTTTTGGAAAAAAGAGGAAGTTGGGTGAATACAGGAACATGGTTGGTAGGATAAATAATGGGGTAAGGAGATCGTACACAAGCAGGAAATTTTGAGGGGGTCGTACTTTAAAAAATCCCCGTCTCCCGCCAAAGGGCGTACCTTGATAACAGCAGTGCCTCTTTAAGGGCCTAATAATTCGTCACTTAATAAGTCGCTCCAGGTTCATGCAGAATGTCTCACAAAAATTAAAGTGAAGTAGACTTTTTATATTAGTAAGCCTTTCAGAGACCGTGCTTATGAAATGTTTATGCATGGTTATCAGTCCTACATGACATATGCCTATCCAGCTGACGAACTCATGCCATTGTCCTGTCGAGGACGAGTGCGGGGAGTCACTCCAAGTAGAGGAGACGTCGATGATTCCCTTGGAAAGTAAGTAATTTTATGTATATCTACGAATTCTCCGACCATCCAAGCCACCAACGGAATTGCCATGTGAGAGTTCAAAAGATACAAGAAGCAAGAGAGCACAAATGGGCAGCATTTCAGGTGCCGCAAAAAAAACTCGAAGAGAAAATGATAAGAACCCGAATTGGGAGGACCGGCGGCTTCCAACATTCGCGAAAGTCGTAACTGCGATAGACAGAGTGCCTAGCCTCCTGTCTTCAATAATGGCCTCCTTCCGCATTTACCGTGAGCGTTAGCGGCTTCTTTCAAAGGTCCTGCTCTTTTACAGAACCAGGTTTTAACGGCTCTGGGGAAACGTCAGGGGTTTCTAACGAGATAGTCATTTTATTATTTTCTCTTTACTAGGAAGCTTAATCCTGTGCACTACTACCGGTTGGTGCTGGGAGTGCCGCTGCAACTAGGTATAATGGACCACCTCATCAGCGCATTATAATAGGTCGAAAGGGGCACGCACACCGTAGTGGTGTCTCATCTACACTCCGACCCAATCTAAATTTTGCACGTGCCTGTTAATAGCATTCCGCGATAAAATAAGGCTATGACCTCTCAAATGTGTCGGACGATCCGGAAGGCGATTTTTGAGGCTGCGCTACTTTCAAAATGTGAAAAACGGCAAGAACTCCGCTAGAAGCTGACTAATTAGGCCCATGGACACCCCTTAGGCCCATGCCGACCCTCACGGCTGACTTAGGCTACTAGCTAGTAACCACTATGTTATCTTTCTCTATAACATTTCGTACTGCTTTTTCTGCTGCTTTTCTCCGCTAATCAGATACTTAGCACTTTTTTGTGCCTATTCCAGTGTGCCGCTTCGCCCGCAATGTTGGCGAAATTGAGTCTGTGCTTTAAGCTCAAGAACTTGGTCATTACGAAATGGGAAATGAAGTGAGAAAAAATGGTATTGAAAGAAAAGGAAAGGAAATGGGGCATACTGGCCTTTATGCTGAAATGATCTCATGCTGCTCAGTAGCTGTTCACTTTGAAGGCGGCATGTAGCGGAAATTCTTCAACTTTTTAAGATGCTGCCTATCCACGGCCAGATAATCGAAGCTCCCGTTTCAGCTTTTCCCTGACACTTATTGACACATTGGATACGTTAGTGGTCGTCGGTGCTCTGGATGAATTTGAAAGAGCTGTCAAATTAATCGTGGACAATGTGCGCTTCGATTCCGATCTCATTGTTTCTGTATTCGAAACGAATATTCGTATTCTTGGAGGTCTTCTTTCTGGTGAGTCACTTTTAATATTTATTTAACCGAGCTTAAATGCCGTGGGCACTGCTGCAGGAGGCGGGCGGATGTTACCGACGTCATTGGTGGAAGGGCTACGAGTGCGTATTGGCCACACCCCACTCAGCCCTTCCACCAGTCATGTTAGCGACAATCGCGCTGAGTGTCTTGGAGATTCATGTTTTGCAAAGGTCGCTTTTACTTTTATATTGCAATTTTGGCATGTTATTCAAGTATTTGAGTGTATTTTCGGCAAGTACTTATATACAGGGCCTATACAACAGAGAAATCCTCAATGAGGGGGACGGAGGGGGTCGTAACTGTGCCTACTACAACTTTTCCACTATTGACTTTTGCTGTTTCCGGAGCAATCTGTTTCTCCCGTTGCGGTGGCGCTGCAACTTTTTCTAGCTGCTCATAGGTCAATCCTCTTCTTTTGGTGGAATCGAAGGAGTCTATTGAAATCGAAAAGACCCTCAGTGAAATAGAACCCCCTGTACCACTTGCTGAACACCAACTTACTTTCTCGCCAGATAATTCGGGATTCTTGCAGGGCACCTAATGGCCGAACTAGTTCGAGGTAAAGATCCTTCGCGGCTACAGTGGTACGATAGTGGGCAGTTGTTAAAAATGGCTATAGATATTGGAGATCGTCTGCTTCCTGCTTTCAATACGTCATCGGGTCTTCCTTACAGCAGAGTAAGATTTTCGTTTCGTTTAGGTTTCCGAGTGCGTTCTTCTTTTCAGTTGTCATACAAGTAACTTTTAGATAAACCTTCGTCATGGCATGTTAGGATCATCTTAAACGACAAAAAGACACGTGTACCGCTTGTGGAGGAACGATGCTATTAGAAATGGCGGCTCTTTCGAGGCTCACTGGGAAACGGCATTTATGAAGAAAAGGTATAGTTGAACCTAAGGTTTGGGCTCTGTTATACTATCCACCTAAACATTGATTTTTTAAGGCTAGAAAAGCCATGGATTTCCTGTGGAGCCAACGGCATCGTGCCTCTGATTTGATGGGGACCGTCTTGAATGTTCATTCTGGTGATTGGGTCCGGAGAGGTATATAATTTAGTTTTTATTCAATTATGTGGTCATTAAAGCGTCAAATGTTTTCAGTTTTCTTTTTTATTTTCTTCGTTTACTACTCTTCCCTTGAAGGCAGATTAGCAAGTAGAATAAAGTAGAAGTAGAATAAAATAGCAGGCAGAATGGCCGCCTTGTGAAAGTAGCTCTCTCGCAAATCTACGTTGGTTGTCTCACATTCGCTGTGTTACACTAGGGAGCGCACCACGTGAACATGCGGACTCGCTAAGGGGCTCCGCTCACTCCAGAACTACCTCTAGTTAGCCCGTTACCGCATGTGCAATCATTGCGCCTCTGTGGGAGAGCGTTAGCCATGACTGTGAGCACACCTAGCGTCGCCGAAACAACCCTCCATTTTTAGTTGGCCAAAGCTGCAGGAAGCGTTTGCATCGCTCATAGCGTCGCGATCGTTTGCATCGAAACTCTCCTAGTCCCTAAGCGAGTCGCACCTTGCTTTCAGAGCGATATTTATGGTCCCGACTTTTTTTTCTATAAAGAGTTTATTATGATAGCAATGCTCTTCCTTACACTTTGAAACGCCCCGTTTTTTAACTGCAGTTCCTTCGGAGATGCGTAGAGTGTTGTTTTACGTTCAGAAAGCGGTATTGGAGCAGGGATCGACTCTTACTACGTACTGCCTCAAAGCTTATATTCTGTTAGGTGACAAAAGCTTTTTGGAGAGCGATTTGAAAGAGTGAGTTTTGTTATGGACCTTCACTTTTTTTTTACTTCTTACGCCCTTATAAAAACCTTTCAAGCATTATGAAGCTGTGATGAGATATGTCAACAAAGGACCTTTATTTGTTGATGTGCACATGCATAGACCAACAGTCGCAACTCGTTCGTTCATGGATGCTTTACTGGCATTTTGGCCTGCTCTCCAGGTTTGATAAGATTCTTCCTTGCTTCTTCCGTGTCCTTCGAATTCGTTCATTTTATATGTTTTGTTATGATTTTATCGCTTTTTTTTTCTTGAGGCGGCAAGTTTTGAATCGATCAAATTCAAATAGTGATTTTTTAACGTGCTGTTTTTGCTAGTCTGCTATCTCTTCTTGCGAAGCCTGAAAGTCAACAAGGCAGCATCCAAAAATATGAGTTCGTCGTTTTCTTCGTTTTACACTCTCACTTCTGAATGATGCAAGTCGTTCAGATTCATAAGGGGACAGTATTGAGCTGTGTCGATTGAAGGGAAAGAATTGTTAATTTATCCATGGTAACTGATGTAAGCGTCGACATTTGTTAATGTCATCACAAGGACTTCAAATTACGGCGGAAACAATCCCGAGACTCGAACCGCGCCCGATCACCTTACAGGGTGAACGCGCAAACCATTATGCCACCAGGTCGTCTCCAAGCCTGTCAGCTTAATGAGCTCTGTGTTGTGGCTTTTGCACACTTACACGTTTGTCGTAAAGGACATATGTTTAAAACCCGAAAGAACTCGCCTTCGGTTCACGCAGTCCTGCCTGGGGGTTGTTTTATCATTACTGACATCATTGTGATGACCTTCAATAGGCCACCCACTCTATTTGACTTTCTTATAAATAGTCCGTCATGAAAGACGTGTTATGTGTATCTGAACTGAAACCATCTCTGCTGTGGCTGCTAGGTTTCTTTTCATGACTTTTTGTCTAGTGAGTAGAATTTTGCCTACCAGCTATCGTTACCAGAAACGGAAAGTACTCGATCAGTGGGAGCTTTTTTCATACTTGCTGCCGGCAGATGAGGCACCAAAAGTTTGACAGGCTAGTGGGCAGTAGTATAGTCAGACGGCTGTACTATGGGGCTCCATAGCCCAAGTTTGATAACTCGATTTTTTTAAGTTCCCGCTTTAGTAATCGGTCGAAAGAAGTACTTGTAACTGCCGAATGACGCCTAAATATATTTTAGTTGTAGACATCGCTCAGAAAGGAGTTAGTAATTGGTGGTACGGGTAGCACGAGAAAGGTCGCATTCATCGTACATGTTTTCTGGCATGCTGTAAACAGGTCACGGTGTTTTTTATATGTGTTCTGCTGTTTCAGGTCTTGAAAGGAGACGTTAAACGAGCTATTGAAATGCATGAAATGCTTTTCCAAGTGGTTCAGGTTGGTATCATCTTCTGATGTTTCTTCATCTCAAAATATTGTTTTTTTTTACAGAAGCATAAATTTTTACCTGAGGCGTTCACGCATGACTTTCAAGTGCATTGGGCTGAGCACCCTATTCGTCCAGAGTTCATAGAGAGCACTCTTTTCTTTTCGCGCTTACGCAAAGGATGCCTCATTATTTGGAAGTTGCCAAGCGAGGCTCGCTATATATGATTCATTCCGTTTCTCAATTGACTGCCGATGCATTCAGTGAAAGCCTTTGATTTTTATTTCTGTGTTGCATAGTATGAACAGTATTCTTTTACAGGTTATGGATAGTATAAACGACTACGTGCGTGTTCCATGTGGCTTTGCTGGTGTGAAAGATGTCCGAACAATGTCACATGAAGACAGGTAACAACAGAGTTGAACGGTTGTCTCCTGTAAGTCAGTTTGGTTCGCCTGTGCAGACTGTGGCGTGTCAGACGGAATAGTTTCGGCGGGTGCCGAACCGCGTCGTTTTTCACCTACCGTCAGGCGGTAAGCACAGCGATTGATAGAAAGCGACTGATTTGAACGATGTGATACAGTCCTGTCGCTTGCTTACTTCAGCGAGTGGTGTAAATTTGGTTTGGCACCACGCCAAACCCATCCCGCCTGACACGCCCTTCATGCGCAGCGGGGCAAGACGAAAAGCTTCAGCCTCGCGGTTTACTGCCGATATCGGCTAACCGGCTCATCACGTTGAACGTGTGAGTGCTGTAAGGCTATGGCACAAAATGCCATTGAGCTGAGAAGGCAAAGGAGGCCCCGGTAGCGTAATGGATAACGCAACCGCCCGGTAAGCGGGAGATGCGGGTTCAAGTCCCGTCCCGGTCCCGACTTTTGCCAATATCTCAGCCTTCTTGTGATAACTTACGGAGCGCGCACTGCGGCGTTAAACAGCAGTCTCAAAAACTAAAAGTTCAAGTCTTAGTTTGTACTACGAGACGCTTAAAATACTTCGGGTCTTTAGAGAGTTTATCTTCTTATCCCACCCTCCCCTGTTTAGAATGGAATTTTCCTTCGTACTTTCGGAAACTTTCAAATATTTGTACATGATTTTTGCGGAGCCATCGGAACTGATCTTTGATCCGGATAATTATGTATTAACAACTGAGGCTCATTTTCTTCCTTTGAATATTGGCAACGAGCAGAGCGAGGTGAGGGCTTTAATGCTAATCCAGCGCGTCTGTTTACCAGTTTAAAGAGCGCGGTTCGGTTTGGTGGGGGCATTCAGGGCTCCCATTAAACGCTGCCCATGCTTGCTGAGCGGAACTGTATATTCCCAAAAAGCTACGCAAAAGCAGGGCTTCGTATACCACTTGAGAAAAGTCTACAGGTTTTGCTGAGGTAAATGACGGGTAGCTACGCAGGAACTAGAACCGGGTAACTAACGCGAAAGTCATAATACGCCCCCTCCCAAGCCGAACAGCGCCGATTGAAATTTTCGCAATGGCGGAGGAAATGTTTTTCTAGGTTCCACGACGCATGCTGATCCATCCCGATGACATAGCACTGTCATCCAAAGAGTACTATGTGTACGCTAACCCGCCAGGTGCGAACCAGTATCCCACTGAAGCCGACGAAGCTCTTCGAATTCGTGAACGAACTCAGGGTGTTCTCGAAGAACTATTTTGATTTGGCCAGGCGACAGGGCAGCAAATGGCTTCTGCACAACGTGGGGCAGTGTGTCACCGTTAGTGTTTGCATCGCGCATTTAAGATGGGCGGTTGTGATATAACCCACGTCCTGCTTCAACGACTAGTTTTTTTTTTTCTGACAAGTTGTAATTATCGATTATGTGGTTTGAATGCGCGTAAATGGATAGAATCAGGGCGCGGTATGTCCCTGTGATATGTAGTACGTAGTACCCTCGCCGGCAAAATTGAGTTATATTGAAGGTCGGAACGCCTACGGGCATGGGCGTTTTCTGCAAGCAATGCTGAACATATCAAGCAATTACGACAAATGGGTATTGACGTGCAAGTACACGAGGATGGTCGAATGCATTTGAGTCATCAAACAGCTGATGTAAGTTCTTTAAGTTGAAAGACTAACAATTGTCTGTTGAAGCGGTTCTTGAGTCCATTACGGAATCCCCAAGAAGAGCTCTGCAATTCACAAAGGCTTGTATGTTAGGGATACCCGATGGGGGAAACGGCTAATGTTCCTAGCTAGTTGACTCTACATAGAAGTTTGACGTCAAATTTTCAATGTTATGACAGTTTACGTCCCATACCTTTACATCCTTGTTCGCTGCAGACGAAGGGGCGTGCCAGTGGAAGGGTTTTGCGTGGCGCCAAACTAGTTTTTCTAGTTGTTGAAGCGGTTAAGGGACAGCAGTTGGTGGAAAACGTGTGATATGAACGACATGATATAGTATTGTCGCTCGTTAGCTACAACAGATGGTGAGAAATGGTTGGGCGCCTCGCCAACTCGTTCCGACTTGAATACGCCTTTCAGCCGGTTGCGGAAAGACTAATTTCAATCCCTTATCTCCAGGGAACTTGACTTGATGGATGGGGCTTTATCTTTTGTTCCAGTTTTTTGAGAATCACCGGGTGTATAAATGTTAGTCTGTTATCAAAACCGTTAATAGTGTAGGTGATCCAAAGTAGACCAAATCAACTTTGAAAAAGGAAGAAGCAGTTTAACGATTATTGATTTTTCTGAGACAAGGTCGTAAAGTAAACAGTATAGGATATCGACTGTCATAACCCAATCGATCTGATGTCAATTGGGTCGAGCCAACAGGTGGGATTATTAGTTGCGCGATTTGGGACCCAGTTGTTCTCAACTGCAACCTCCACCAAAAGGAGGCCGGAATCGCCTCAGGTTAGCGCTCAATTTGTAGCTGTCGGGCGCTGACCAGCGGGGGGGGAGAAGGGGGAAGCCCTTTGCGGTGCCTCTGTGTCCCTGCCCCGGGATGAGACTTAGGCTTGGGGGCTAAAGTATTTACAGGAGGTCTCTTCTGAGGAAACAATCCCTTGGCAATTCTGTTGTCTGTCTTCTTTCAACGCCAAAGCCGTGTTAGGAGAGGAGCCTCGAGTGCTACATCAGAACACGAAGGTGATCCCTACGAGGGGTCGTATATGCTGGAGGGAGGAGGTAGTATTTGCCTTTGAGAAAAATGTTTCAATTATTGACTTTTTTCGATTTTTTCCTTGTCCTAAGTGAACTACTCCCAGCTCTCTCCCCCTCCCGCCCCCCACCAGTGCTCACTTTCAGTTCCGGGGAAAAGTAGGGAAGTCTGTGGAGAAAATGCCGAAGAAGTGGTAGGAAGGCGGGAGAATTTAGGGAGGTCGATGGTCGAATGAGGATGGGGAAGAGGGGGGGGGGGGGAGAGGGTCGTATTTTGCTTAATCTTTCCCCAATAACAAAATGGCCGGAGTCCCTTCTATACTACGTCAGCGCACACTGGTGATTTTTTTCCGATTTCAACACAAATTATATTTCGTCCTGCTTCTGTTCACAAATACTGTAACTATTCATATTAGTATTGCCACTAATTTTGCCATTATTGGGTGGCAACACGGAAGACGGATGAGTTTGTACAAGCAGATGGCGCATGACCAGTGTCAACCTGGTGATGACGCTTTTGCTGTCTAAATCGCATCAATTAGTCAAAGTTAAGAAAAAGTAGTTATTATTTGCGCTGCTTGTGCCATCTCTGACGGTCTTTCGTGTTGCAGGGTGGAGTGGTAACGTGTGAAATTGACGGGAATGGCTCACCATCTACCATAACGTCGTTTGCGATTCGTGTCTCTGGTGCGAGTGTCGCGCTTGGTCAAATGATCAGTCTGCTCATGTTGATTCTCGTTGTTTGGCTCATACTTTTAAGTATCGCTGCTTTCATTATTTGCTCAGCTGCCGTACTATTGAAGTCGTTAGGTACAAAGGTTAAATCAGAATAGACCTCATTAAAATGAAGGAACAAGTGTGAATTGTTCATCATGATCCTAGTCTCCGATAGATTCCTCCAAATGATATCATCTTTCAGTCTCCCAGTGGATTAGATTTTTTTCTTTTGTTTCATTTATTTTTTTTTCGCCTGAATCTTTCTTTGGCTCCCCTGCTTACATATCTCTTCGTCTTATATTGGGTCGACGATATATTTGGGTATATCTGTGATATAACTCCATATTGTATTATTAATTTTATTATTATTACTATTATACGATGTAAATTCACCTTAGCGCAGAAGAGCTCGGCAGGAAAATGCATAATGTTAAACATTGAGTGTCAGATAAACATATAGCTATGAGTGTTCGTAAAACCATTTCATTTGGCAGTGTGCCAAAAGTCCTCAAGATACTGTACAGATTGAAAAGATCACGTGATTTCTAGGCAATCAGCCCTCAGATGGCCAAATGCGGCATCGATTTTATGCAAGAGATGCTGCAACTCACTTCACAAAGGGAAAGTGAAAATGGTAACTACTCGTCCTGGTCTACTTTGGTTTTATGATCTACTTTGGACCCTAAGTGACTAATACTTTCTAGTGTCAGAACTGCGAGGTTTTCGCTACGTACAGAATTCTTTCATCGCCGTATTTCGGGTATCCAGTGTTTCGTGCAGCTCCCGCACAGTATGGACCTGATTTGGAAAGTTCACCAGTAAGTACCAGTTTCATTAGAATTTGTCGTATTTTATTCGATTATCAGGTAGCCTCTTTTTATAATGCATAAAGGGCCAGCGCTTCACACTTTTGTCCGAGTATCAAATGTCTGCACATAATCCATCTACGATTTTGGCCATAGTCAGGTAGTGGTGGACGCCTGGTTGTCCGAATGATATTATCGAACTGGGCACTGTTCGGCTTAGGAAGGGCATTTGGCCAATCGGCTAGTTCCTTTTTCTAGTTCACGCTGACTAATAGCTCTCATTTTGGTGAGATCTCTGATTCTTGTGGAGCAGACTTACAAGTGAGCTCGGCTGCAAGGGCTTACAGGTCTTCACAAGATTTCCTGTACAGGTTCCTTAAGCTCGGAGAACCGTTCTCCTCGTTGCCAAGCCAAACTTGCGCTCCGTTAGGGCTGGATATTATTTGTGATTAGATGCTGTAATTAGATTGTAATTAATCCTTCTGAATCTTGGATAGCTCTCCTCATCTTTCAGACGGAAGGTGAAGTTGCTGTCGCGAGGCCGTTCAGAGCTTGCTCCTCTTTAATCAACGAGAATGAAGTCGTGGCCGAATTGTTCTAGTTGAACGATCTGATTGCATGTTCCAAGAGAAGTCACGTCAAGCTCAACAAGCAGGAGCTGTCGGTGTCATCGTAATTGGTGAGTTGTTCTTATCACAGTCTTTTTCTTCTTTAAAGGCAGTTGGCACGATGGTTTCCTACTTAGCCTAAAATGCTAGTAGGGCGCTGTATAGTGGGGAAATGGCGAAAGAACGGAGTGAAACGGTCAAAATCCTGCGAAGAAAAAGCCTCCGTTCTCAGTGACTTGAAAAAATCGATTTCGGACGAGTTTCCCGTAGGCATCTTACCAGTCACCGCTACCGAAGATACGGCTGCAGTTGTGTACCTATATGTATGCATGCAGCATCACGGCCGCCTTTCAATCCAGTCCCATTCCGCTTAATGTTTAGCAGGATGAGTGAATACGAGCGTCACAACGAGACGTCCATTTTGTGCGGCCCCTCGGGCGTGGCAGGGTTTGGGACGTAAAGTTGTGGCTTGATAGGGCCCTTATAAGGGCACCTTCCTCGGGGAAACCGCTATGCAGCGCTGCCCAGGGTCGCGGAATTCTATCCTGCCAGGAGTATTGATCCTAGTCGTCTTGGGGGATTTATCGTGCCAACTGCCTTTAATTGAAGCCAGGGCCATTAAGCATGTTTTAGAGGGGTTGTATTTATCGCTGGGACATAGGGGTTGCTAGGGAAGGGAGGAGTTGGTACTGAAAAACAAGCCAACGGAAGGTAAAGTAGCTATGAACTTTCCGGTCCCTTGGATCACATCTACCTGCACTGGCAAGCCTTGTATGAATGATCTTTCAACCACATCAGCGTGGGAGTCGAAAGCGTAGCATTGTTGAATAAATATATTTTTCAGACCACATTATTGGAACCTCCTCGGCAAACGAGCCTTCCTTTGCTATGGCTGAGGACAAGGACTCGCCAGACGACATAGTTATACCTTCGTTATTCCTGTACTACAAGGAAGGACAGCTTTTACTGAAGGCAGCTAAAGGTGGCAGCAGAATTGTGGTTAGACTCTCCGCTACTCCCATCATTCCAAGTAAGTGTGTCCCCAGTTGAAATATGAAAAGCGATTGGAACTAACAGAATATTTCACACTTTGTAATGATACAAGTCGTTTGAAGCCTTGTTTTCAGATTCGTTGGTGGAACAGTTCTTGATGTCGGGGTTGTCTCCTTCATTAGAGGATAACATGGTACGTTTACGAGTTCTTGTCTCCTGTTGCAGGAACATTTGATTATTATGTGTTACCGTAAATGTAAATATTCGGCGGCTCCGCTATTATAATCCGCTGCCTTATTACGAACTACCTTTTTTCTTACAAATTGTAGGCCCCATATTCTGGATCTCTGTTTGGGATGGTTGCTTCAATTATGCCTTTCTTTTATGAATTTCTGGGCGGCGCTGTGACAAAATTCTGAGTCATTTTGCCCTGACAAGTAAAAAGAATGTCTGAACAGATGAGAGGAATTAGTGAAGCGGTATACTCAAAGCGCTGAGGTGTCTACGTAGCCGTAGTTAACATCATCGAGAAATTTCCTTCATCTTGCCTGTTTTTGCAAAAATCTCGGGCCTAGATTAAAAGGAAACCCTCGAAAACAGGAGACCGAAAAGTTGATGGCGACCTGAATTGAATCAAAATTACTCTGACATGGGTCATGTTGTTCTTTAACACGATCCGGACCGTGGAGTATTTCGCGTGGCGTTCACGTGTGGCTGCGGGTTTCTTTTTTCTGTGCGAGAACAGACATGACACATCATGTGTGTCGCGCGACAGAGAGCAGAAAACGTGTGACACACCATGTTTGTCACGTGATCTGGAATCTACTGATATTTCGGATGTTGCTGACCACTTACAGTTGAGACTATATGAAAGATTTCTTCATGTTATGAGGTCATTTAACTCCTTGAAGCTACTTCTGTACAATTTTTAAAATTTTTTTTCACCACTTCCATCATCACATTGGAGTAGGTTGCTTCTTTCAGATTTGCTTGCCTTCTGAAGGTGACTTCATAACATTGACAACGAAAATTCCAGCGTCACGTTCAATTTTGTCGTTTGAATCTTCACTCAGTCGAGTGAGCCTCACGAACATCAAGAGGTAGAATACTCTGAAGGCTATTTTAGCAGCAATATCACTCTCATTGCAGATTGTTGAACGTCACGTTACGGTCCTTCAAGATGCGGTCGGTTTCGACCGTCGGGGTCAAAGAACGATTTCTTCCAATCTTATGCGAACGGCAGCCTACGGTGCTCTAGGCTTGAACGTGGAGGTTTGTTTCTTTGTGTACTGTCTAGGGCTGCGTTCATACATAGCGACAGCGGCGGTAGCCCCGTTGAGCATTTCGAGCGTGCCGAGCGACTAGAAAACGTATAGTATTGAGATCTAGCTGTCCACGCAGCGTATGTCGCAAGTATGAAGCACCTCCAGTTAGGGTCAGCAACTCTTAAACCTGCCGAAGACGACGACAGTCCCGGAATTGGATTAGCCGCAAGTCGGCTGATGGCGCCTAATGTTATCAGGAGGCTTGTACTAACCACCTTGTAAAGTCGAGTAAATTCTTGTAACCCAAGTGACTCTTTTGTACCATTTTGCAGTTTCTCAACGGTTCACGGGTCTCACCAAAGTAAGGTCAGTTAAAGGAGCGATCCGCGATGATCTATGAAGATACAGGAGGTTATGTGGAAGGCTGTGCGTCAGGAGTGGACAACCCTGTGCCAGTTTGTGAGAAAGTTGTTCACGCGTCAAGGATTTGGCGCAAAGTGCTCAGTAGTACTTTCTGTTCCCAGTGACCCGCACTCCAGACTCCGCCTCCAAAGCCGCCCTTTCAGCCAAAAGTTTAATGCCTCCCGGCAATCATGGTGTGATTCATTCATTTCTCTATGTTTAGTGAGTTCGTAGGTTCATTACTGAAATCAGCTCCGAAGGAATTTCTCAGCGCGCAGTCTTTTCGGGTCTTTTGCCCTCTAACGCTTTTGAGGCTACACGGAGTCAAACGAATGCGTTATCCAACGTTTCATCCCCTGCATTTCCTCTTCATGCATGTACACTATGTGCGAATTTTCTGCAATTTCTGCGAGATCTGACCTAGCATTTCTATTGCGACCGTGCGAATTTAATGTCTTGAAGTAACGAAAAGAAGTAAACGAAAGTGCAGAATCCCCCCCCCCCCCCCGCAAGCTTGGACAGCCTTATCAAATTACTTCGGTAGCGCTCTCCGAATCAGCTGAAAGGGATTTCAGGAATGCATTCTAAGGGAGTTTTCTATCAAATAGGTGCTTGCAAAACCAATGACTTTGGCGATTGTCTTCTTTTGCTTTTCAGGATGAAAGTCTGAAAACTGTGGAGCAGCGTTACATGATGCGTATGTACCTACAATCTACCACCGACAGTGCATACGAATATATTACAGGTGATATCACTTCAGGTTAGTTAATCTTATTCTTCTCTAATGATCACATGTTCTACGATGCCTCGGAATAACGTGGTTCCCCAGACCCGCTGCATAGTTTCCAAAAGACCCAACTACCAAACTTGAAAGCTTCCCGCCCCATGGGAAGCTGAGGAGAAAATTCAAAAAAAGCTTCCCAGAGTGGGAAAAATTTAAGAAAAAACTAGTCTGTGGGAACCGTAGATATTAGACACTAAACTTGATAATTTTGCTTCGTTTCTGTCAACGCCATGACGTATTTCTTCCGTTTTGTCATACTGGTTTACTTTGCCTTAATATTGACTAATCTTCCTTGGATGTGCCGCTCACTGAGACGCGACTCGGAATTACTAGAACGCGTACTTGACCTACAAAATGACTTACGAGACCAGCCAACAATTGCCTTTTCGCTCACCAGACCTGTTTTGCTTCTTGGGAGCAAGTAAACTTGTTGGCCCGTGAAGAACTTGAAGGTGCACCGCACATTATACCAAAGGTCAGAATGTTTATTTTATTGGGCTGGGCCAGGTTTGTAGCAAGCAAAATGTACCACTGTCGCGCTTGTGGATCGACCTGCGCGCGCTATGGCAAGGACAAGACTGAATGTTTCTGGTTGCTTGATGTTTCTGTTGTTTTTGCCCACCATTCGTTATGATCACAGGGATGCATGACACGCTGCTCGTCGGCGTCCTCTCGCCGAGATAGTATTCTTTAGATTTGGTTAAGGCCGATCGGCCATTCTTCGGGGGGGGGGGGGATTTCAGATTCTGAATGTCTGTTAGTTTTTTCATAATTTTTTTCATAATAGTTTTTATGGCACACCTTGAGTGTATGGGAAAATAAATAAATGTCCATGCACATTTGAACAGTGTCTTCCTTCCAACTGGCAAGAGTCATGGAGTGGATGCATTCAATGTCTCTTGTAGAGTCATAGGGTTCATTACTGGGAATCAGCCGACAGGATTGTCCCAGAGCGCGGTCTTTTCGGTCTTTTACCTCTACAGTTGTTTGAGGCGCTAGAGCAGGCTGCGACGAACGCCGTTTACAACGTTCCCCCCTGGCATATGTCTCGTTCATTGATGGTTCACATGCGAAGATTTCTTCCACATTTTGCGAAAATGACGTAGGCTTTCTATCGCGACCGTGCTTTAATAGTCTTAACTAACAAACAAGAGAAACGAAAGATGCGCAAAACCCCTCCCAAGTGGACAGCCCCATCGAATTACTTGGTTGTAGCGCTCTCGAAATCAGTTGACAGGGGTTCCAGGAATGCAGTCTAAGGGAGTTTTCAATTAAATAGGTGTTGCAAAACCAATGGCTTTGAGAGTGCCTTTTTTCAGGATGAAAATCTGAAAACTGTGGAACAGGCCTTACATGATGCGTATGTACTACATCTACCACCGACAGTGCACGAATATTTACGAGGTGATATCACTCAGGTTAGTGTAATGCTTATTTTCTTTCTGGGATCACATGTTGGACGGGTTGATCCAAAGGTGGGTTCCCAAGACCCGTGATAGGTTTCCAAAGACCAACTAACAACTTGTAAGCGTTCCCATGTGGGAAGCTGAAGGAGAAAATTCAAAAAAAGCTTTCCCAGAGTGGGAAAAATTTAAGAAAAAACTAGTCTGTGGGAACCCGTAGATATTAGACACTAAACTTGATAATTCTGCTTCCGACTATTGTCAACGCATGACGTATTTCTTCCGTTTTGTCATACTGGTTTACTTTGCCTTAATATTGACTAATCTTCCTTGGATGTGCCGCTCACTGAGACGCGACTCGGAATTACTAGAACGCGTACTTGACCTACAAAATGACTTACGAGACCAGCCAACAATTGCCTTTTCGCTCACCAGACCTGTTTTGCTTCTTGGGGAAGTAGAACTTGGTTGGCCCGTGCAGAACTTGAAGGTGCACCGCACGATTATCCGAGAGGTAGGAATGTTCTATTATTGGGTTGGGCAGGTTTGTAGAAAACAAAATGTAGCACTGTCGCCGCTTGGCTCGAGCGCGCGCCTCTATGGCAAGGAAGCTGAAGGTTTCTGGTTGCTTGATGTTTCTGTTGTTTTTGCCCACCATTCGTTATGTCACAGGGACGCATGACACGCTGCTCGTCGGCGGCTCTCGCCGAGATAATCCTTTATTGTATTCTTTAGATTTGGTTAAGGCCGATCGGCGCGTTCTTCGGGGGGGGGGAATTCAGATTCTGAATGCCTCTTAGTTTTTTTTTTCATATTTTTTTTCATAATAGTTTTTATGGCACACCTTGAGTGTATGGAAATAAATAAATAAATAAATGTCATGTGTCACGTTGAACAGGGTCTTCCTCACCTCAGAATCAAACCCAGCTGACACTGTCGAGGTGAGGGGGCGCAGACGATCTACTCAATGTCAAAGATGGGCGGGTCCCTCAGATACATCAGCCGGTCATAAACCTCTGGCTCCATTATAACTTTCACATAGCGAAGATGGTTGAGGACCTGTAGTAAATGAGAAAGGTCCACCTCTCAGGTATAGTGCAGTATGTTTAACGGGTTGTATGTGTAGTAGCAGTGTTTTTAGCTCCCGAGAACGTACCAGAATTTTCATATGGTCTGATTAGATGTTAAATTTGAAAGTCATTTTCAGGTTCGATGTCTTCCAAGAGGCGAAGTGTTTCAGTGCGTTCGGATTGCTGCATGAACTGAACGAATGAATGGCCCGGTTAACCTCTTGATACCATAATTTGTGTGTATTACCATATCTGTTCTCTTTCCAAATGCCATTTCTATTTGCGGGTTTTTAGGTTTGAAGTCATTATATCTATGAGTTCTTTCCAGAGGTATACTTTACTATAAATGTGAATTATACGCCCCTTCTCCTATAAGTGTTCTCTTTTCTATATCTCTTGCCTTTTTTCTGTTATCATCTTTTCTGTAATATTGCTGTAAAGATACGAGCTTCTGAACGAGGTAGCCATGTCTGCTTGCGCACTTATGGAACATTCTGAAAACCTCAAGAAATCAGTCGGCTACAAGCTTTTTATTAAAGTTTTGTCTGTATTACTAGTATCAGATAATACGATTAGAGGGTGTTAAGTTGTGCTGTACTCCAGCACAGGGGTTTGTTTGTTTAATCAATGAAAGTTTTAAAGAATGTGATAAACATTTGGACCAAAACTGTTGGCTACTGAATTGTGATAACTAGTTATTGGTAAAACATCAGAGGTAGGTGTCGAGGGACTAGGACTTCATGGCGTTGGGCAGAGTTTTAGCTGTTTGCCACACCCTTCACCTAATCTTCTTCGATGTGATCCTCTCCAAAGATCGACCGACCGCATTACTGAACTTTCTCGAAAACTTGCCTTGAGGGAAGGTGGACATCTGCGATCCACGATCAGAAATAAGCACGAGAAAAAAATAATCGAAAAAAGGCCTACCGAAGGCAAATCCGGCCTCCCATAAGGGGATTCCCATCGTGCATGAGCACTGATTAGCAGTTTGTCATAGCTTTCGGTTGGCATCAACAACTGATTAATACTTGCCTATGTACTCACTTGTAAGTTAGCCAAAACCCGTATGTGTGTCGAATATTGCCACCTTCCCCGCTCTCAAAAGTGGTAGAGCTTTTGCACTGCTGAACATAAGACGTTCGATGACATGTGAAAAATAATGAAATTAGGTAGCAGGAATAGATAAGACGACATCCTCCATACATTTTTGAGCCTATACGACTGCTTGCACCTCTGTGGCTCAAGGATAGCTGCCATCGGGCGTTCTGTTTGGAATGTTTCCGACGCGGCCGCTTATGCTGGATCATCGTAGCCCTCTCTGAGTAAGAAGGAGCTGCTAGGAGTGTAGATGCTCTTCGCAGACCAATTGCAGAAAGAAGGGGAGATAGGTGGAAGGCGTAGATACAGGAATATAAGTGAAGAAGTTTGGTACGCGTAGCCACGCATGACGACGGACGGCTGATACGCGGACCGAACGGTTGCCGGTTTACATATTCTCATGGATGGGATGCCTTGAATTAGGTAGCGGAAGTATAGTAATTCGCGTGTGAAGAAAGGTGGCTTGTCTGCTTGATAGGGTGGACGACTCATTGCTGTAAGATGGGGACTCAGATTGGTAGACTGTGAGCCAGAGCTGAGAGGGTAGAGCTCCAGGAGAGAGAGCACAGGACGAGTGATGATAAGTGCTCATAAAGGCAAAAAGAGAGAGACTCTCGATAAGCATAGAGGCAAAACAGCCGCACGCGTGTTCGGTCGTTACAGATTACGGAGAGATCACAATGAGATGAGGTACGACCTATACTAAGTATCATTGTAGTTTCTTATGAGTTCTAGAATATTGGGCTTATGCACCACATAAGGAATGTCTTCGTACACGATCTGACTTTCTTTACTATATGGGGGAGTCTCCTGCTAACTGAGTTGTGCATGTTAGGCAGAAGTACCTTAGGAAAGCAAGAGTAGTAGACTCGCATATAACGAGTTTGGATGCGAAGGGTACCAAGAGCGGGTTATTAATTATAGGTAAAGAGAGAGCTGATCTACAGTGCCGTGGCTACATGAGTTGGGATCGGTATGCAGATGCAGAGAGGAGAGCAAAAGAGTGGGACACAAAACTCAAGAGAAGCATGACTGGGAGCATAAAGAGGGTAAGTTCGCATCTATAGGCGGTGATATGCATGCAGTAGTTATAATTCGGGTCCGAGCACAGACGAGAGTGGCAGCTGGCACAGGCCGTGAAGCACCTGGTAGCTAGCCACTTAGGAGCTAGAAACACGGTGCCGCGTAACTAGTGAGTCGTATTATCAGGAGTGAGCAATGCTGATGTAGTTATCGGCATATAGCCAGTTGATCGAAACGTGAGAGTAGTTTGAAGATAGATCCGACGAGTGAGAAGAGTAGCTGTGTCTGGCGACATCACTGCGGGATCTCTGTATCGAGACAAATAACGCAGCATGAGGACTGGCTCTTGACGGATGCCGCGCAAACCTCACTAGTATCACCCCTCGTCAGCTTTGTTTTCAACTCGCTCATCAAATGGCGCGAATATTTGCAAGGGATGAGTACACAGGGTCTGGAGGGCTCTTCTTGCTCACGTCGGAGGCCGCGATCCTCGGAGGGGAAGGGGTCAGTTGCCCTTTGATTAACTCCAAGTTACCAGATAAATGTAGATTATATGTCTACGCCATGTGGGAAGGAGTTTTGACGTACGGGGGGTTGAGAGTGAGTAGGAATGGGAGAGATAGTCCTCCTGGTGTGAGCGAACAAAGCAGTGTACGAATATATAGATATGTGCAGCACAGAGGAGGTGAGAATAGTGGGATTATGATACGGATCGGTGAGGCCTGTACTAATCGAGTGGTGGAGGTGAGGAGTGAGAGCTTGAGAGTAAGTTGCGCTACTGAGATTCAAAAAAAGAAAGCAGCAGTCAACGGTGTTCTTGCCAACGTGCACACGTGGTGGGAGAACTCTTAAACGTTTCGTTTTTGCTTCTTGATAACTGCGTATCGTTTTGTAGGCATCGTGTGTATCCCTCACTGAGTGTCTGAAAAGGAATAACTATGGTAGGTAAGTTCAAGCGATATAGGCACATAGAGCGAACAGAAGGTGATTGGTATATTGAGAAGCCGTAAGGAAGAGCAGAAAGAAGAGTCCGCGCACATAGTGACAACGGATAGAAGGTTTGTAGAGACATGTGCAACGTTCGTATAGGTTTCAAGAAGAGTGGAGAGTAATACAAGGAGCGATGAGTTTTATATTTGTTGTCACCTTGCCCAAGAGACTTACATTATCATGCAGTAGCGTGGAAGTGTGGTTACTGGGAGGAAGCTACTTTTCTGTGCTTCGAGGTGGAGAGACTGAGGCCGGTGTATATAGAGTGGAAAAAAATACAGGAATTTTGGAGTAGATGAGGTGGATCAGGCACAGACCATGGTGGAAAGTGCGCTTGCATTAATTTGCTGGGGCGTGAAACGTGATTAAGGGGTTAAGATGGAGGATGAAAGAGTGCGCGGAGTCGCATTCAAGGTATCTGTTCAGAGTCGTAATGGCTTGATTGGAAAATAGCAGATGTGGAGCCTAGTACAGGATGACTTGAGGAGAGAGTCATACAATGTAGATCTTGTCAGTGGGTTTTTACGCTTGGCCAGACCGAATCGTTAACCTAAATGTTGAAAGTCCGCGCGCTGGCGATCAGGAAGGGAGATTAGGCTAGATCGTAGGAACGGTGAGATTAGGGAGGAAGCGGGCGAGGGAGGGTGAAGGGATTAGGAAGGAGTGGCAACAGAGGATACTGTGAGGAGGGGACCTTGGGAATAGTGAAGACAAGAAGGAGAGGGTATGTAGAGGTGGAGCACTGGGACGGAGAGGGAGTTGCGCAGACCATGAGTAGCAACGCAGAGGGGATAGGAACGCGAGGGGGGTGGATAGAGCCGAGCAGTAAGGGTGATGGGACACAGTGTTGGTCGACGGGACCGGAGATGATACCATCCGGCCAAGAGTGTGCACCCAAAGGGAGATAAATGTGATAAGGTATTATTCAGCCGAAGCTTTTATGCACCTTTCGCAGCGAGATGTGACTAGTAGCAGACGAGGTGGTGATTGAGATAGCAGCAGTGGATGAAAGACGAGGCATACTCATCGAGATCAAAATTGAGTCCCGGTTAAAGAGCTTATTCAACCAGGTATTAAGTAGTGATCACAACGAATCCAGGATATTACCAGTGTGAATGATTTGTATAAACGAGAGAGAGGGTATGGCAGCTTGCTGATGCGATATACGTAGAAAACCGGAGCTGGTGAGAGATCACCTAATTAATGAAATCGTAAGGAAAACTATAGACGCTGAATAGTGTAGCGCTTCATTCTAGTGATTCTCATCTTGATTAGAATGAGGTGATGGGAGGGAAGGGGAGATACAGCAGAGAGCTAGGAAGAGGGACAGGAACGTAGGCCCTGAGGAGAAAAGGGGCGATGAAGGAATGACGACGAAAAGTGATGTGCAAAAATATATACAAACTTTTGAGGTCATAAATAATCATGTAGCTAAGGTGAACTATTGCGAATCGTGTAGACATTATGAATCTGGGATTGCCACTCGTAGAAAGGAGAGGTAGGCGAAGAGGACAGAGGGAGGATGGTATTTAGAAGGTGAGGAAGAGAGTATGGAGAAAGTGAGGAGAGGATATATATGAGTGAGCAGAGTGAGTGGCGAGTGAATAGAGGGAGAGGACAAATATCAAGACGGAGCGATGGGATAAAGAGTAGAGTAGGAAGATAGAGATACAGGATAAAGAGGTAGAGAATAGAAAAAAGATGGTATATGAAGGATGCGACGCGATATGGCGATACAATAGGATATGATTAGAGGTTGTGTCAGTGCATGGATGGGAGTCGAAGGAGTAGTAAGTAGGAGAAGATGAGAGTCGCTGCGGATCGCGCGAGAATACTTCCCAGCTCGCTGTGGGGAGAATTAAGTATGCATAGGGTGGTATAAGAGCGACAGGGGGAGTAAGGTTTCATGTTGGAGGAGAGTAGTCAAAGGAGGCGTGATCCAGTGTTGGTACGTGGGAATAACTGGGGATTAGGAGTCCGGTGTAAGAGTGGTACGGAACACCAGCAAGTTAGTTAACTCTTGGCGTGCAGTTTGGTTTCTAAATACTTCATAAGGAGATAGCGCCCATGACGTCGACCCCACTCACATTCAGCTTATTACCAGCATTTTGGGGGAACGCGACTATAGCCATTACGGAAGGTGAAAGCGACCGTAATGTTCGGAGGCACAATATGAAAATGCTAGGGATCAAATACAATATGCGCTCCCTACGCGAAGTCAGATAGAAGAACGAACTAGACATTGGTGGAAAAGACTACTAACGAAAACTAGCAGATGTCCTGTATGATATTACGTCCTTACCCACGAGGGAGGGAAAGCATCTATAGCGTAAACCCAGCTTATAAATTCCGCGAGATCAAGGTGTACTGGACGCTAGTCCGATCAGAGAGGTTCGAGGGGAGGGGAGAGAATCAGAACAACAATGGGGAGGGAAAGGTGAGGAGCTGACAGAGAAGACTATAAGGCGAGGTACCAGTAAGTGATCTGAGGCGGGAACCGATAAAGACATCGAGTATCCATGCTGCCGTCAGGACCCAGAACGAGACGAATTGAAATTGCTTACGGCAAATCACGACTGGGACAGGTAGATGTAGTCGGTTGACACGAGTGGAGATATTGTTAGGGAAGAGGACAAGTCGACGGCAACTGAGTTAACCGACGAATCGAGATAGTACTGGGTAATAAGGGCGGTAGGAAAGCCCTTTCGTACGCGGAATGGAAACAGCGTGACTGGTTTCTCCGGTTAGTCATATTGTACAGGCTGTGCAAGTTTCGTAAGGAGCTCAGATGGTAACGTGTTGCCCGAACTCTTGGGTACAGTCAACGGAGAGAAAGAAAAACCACGCTGCGTTAACGTGTTGCTTAAGTTTGTCAAAATTTCGCATTTTGTCTTTTCTGTTCTGTCTAATGCAGAGAGCAGTGTTCTAGGAGGCGTGGCATAAGGAAATTTCGCGCTTAAACTGATGCGTCAGCAAGAAAGTTTGTGAGTGGGGTTGCCTAATGCGAGAAAGGATGCCGCGAATGACTATGAGTTAGACAATGGCTCTAAGGAGAAGGAGGGGCAGCCGAAGTGAAATAAGGTCATGTTCCGTCGAGAGAGAGCGAGGAGAGCCCCGACAATGCAGGTCATCGCAATGGTTTACAATGGTAAGGCCATTCCCCGAAGCCCGAGAAGGGGTTTAATAAATGGTAAGTCTGAGGGCGGGAGCCTAGTTCTGTTGATCGCGCAGAGTCATCTATAGGAAGTCATTAAGCTGGATTTGGACCGCTCTAAGAAAATGAGTGAACAGGAACGAACTGGAGAGATTGAATTGGGCACAACTGGTGAGAGGATTTTTTCTGGAAGTTTGAAATGGAACAGCTACTCTTTAGTGAACTTTAAGGACGATTGTATACAATGGAGAGCGTAATCGGAAGGAAGTTACACTACGGAGAAGTACCAATTAAACCTCTGGCCTTACATAGCTTGGAGATTGCAAGTACTTCATGGCGAGTGCCTATATCAATATAGATAACGTTACAGGAGCTTATTGCAGAAAGACAAAACTGGGTAGTTGAAGCAAGTAGACTGCTGATAGGTAGGCTGATATGCCTGCTAGCACGCTTGTGCTTCGGCAGTGTGGGACGCGTCAGGAATCGTTCGAGAGAGAAACGGGACGCAATGCTCAGGGTGACAAGGTAGAGGAGATTCATAATGCTAGTTGTTAATTTAAGTAGCGTAGGCGTTTCTGGTACCATAATGACCGTGGAGCGTAGTCTGAAGTAAGGCAAAGCAATTTTTGGCAGAAGTTCCGAGTTAGGTCTGAGTAGCACAGTTTACGCACGAACTTAGCCAATTTCTGAAGTCGATGCGACAGCAGCGCACACACACTATCATATCGTCTGAGGATGGTTAACATTGGAAGTACAAGAATATCGCGGGGACGAGTCAAGGTAGTTTTTAATATGGGTTGTCATGTGCAGGCTATGGAACTGGCCGTAGGGCTGATTGCTTGTTAGCGTTTCAGGTAGAGCAGTGAGGTTACAAAAGCGAATAGAGCAGGGAGCGAGAGTCGCCGGATTCCAGGATGAGTCGCATCGAAATCAAGCGCCACGACGAGAACGGAGGCGTAAAAATTTTTATTGCGCCAAAGTGCGAGTTATTGTTTGTACAGTTTTGTGTGATGGAGACATTTCGATCGGGTTTTATGTGTTCTGGGTTTCGGATGTTTCGCGTGGTAGCCCAAGGCGGATTCCCGTCGCCGAAGGGTCGACACCGTCGCAGCTGATGCGGTGCACGCAGAAGTACACACAGCGCGATGAAGCAGCTTTAACCATTTCTGATAAATTCAATCAGCCTGATTGATGACGATCTGCCTATCCCTGCTTTCGGCCCGACGTCGGTTTTTTGGGAGAAAGAAACAGGCCGTAAGGGATTACATATATACATACCTCAATGGGAGCTTTTGGAGACAACTGCTTCAAAAACTGAAGAGGCGTATTGCTAAGAAAAAGGTGTCAAGGACGTTTGGTAAAGAAAAGGGAAGTTTCAGAGTGCTCCAAGAAATCGTGCTCCGAAAGGCTGAATTTTCGCCACGAGTACCTGACGCAGTGGTGAGTTGTCCATCAGCACGTCTTGAGCATCAAGCAACTACTGTATAGTAATCTTGATAAAACTGTGAACCTTGCCGCGACATTGATGCCTAGCAGAAACTTCGAAACGAGATGTATGCATAGCTGGAGCAACGTTCTCCCTCCTCCGAGGGTGGTGGATAGGGCTAGCCCCAGAGCGCTATACTCACATCCAAGCGCCAGAATGCAAGCTATACTCACATCCAAGCGCGAGAAATGCAAGCTGTACACTCACCTCCGCGAATCCCGATCCTTGCCATGTGTGAGGTAAATGGGTCCGCAGCTGAAGTAGCGTGCCATTTTCTCCGCTGAAAACTGGACGGGAACGAGGCTGAAGGTAATGTTACCTTTCTGCCGATTCCGCTCCGCCTCGCGCTTCGGCGCGACTACACACATCTACTAGTATCCAAACGCGCTACTTGTCTGCCCCCTCTCCCTACTGGCTGTTCTCCACCGCTGAGTATGTGTTTCGCTGCGGACCTTGGTATCTGCGCAAGCGCTGCACCTTTGAGCTAGCGTGAGCGGAGTATGGAGCCGGCACCGAGTATTACTCTCTAAGCCCAGCTCCCGTGATTTTCGATAGAAGATCATGGCACGCTATTGCAACTGCGAACCCATTCTCCTAGCACATGGAAGCAACCGTCCTCTGGAGGTGAGTGTGCAGTTTGAGCCCGTGAGCTTGAGTGAGAAGTTGAACCCAGACACTTAAATCACGTCATTTTTCTCTTCCGCGTTCTCCCCTCTGGGTATTCCTTCTACAACCACTGTGACCTTACACATTCCATCTTTTCACGTGAGATAAGTGCGACTCACTCTCCGTCCCTCAAAAAGCCCAGCTCTCACCAGGGAAGTCCGCCAACTTACCGTTGAACGTCGAACCTTACCACTGAACCACCACGACTCGATTCGACGTATGCGATTCCTCGCTTATGCTTCACAGCTCACCACCAAGCCTCCACCCTACTGCACCATTACAAACTTTACCTGCTCATAAGTTGCTTGTGAAATGCAGGTTGCAGTTTTGCTATCTATATTTGTAAATAACCTTATAGACTCTATCGATCTACCCAGGTCTCCATTCAAAGTTCCATGGTAAGTTGGCGGACTTCCCTGGTTAGTGTCCTGACTTCGGTCTGTGCCAGGACTTCGCCTTCAGCGACACGCTGTTGAGTTCTTATTCCAATCAACCAGAAGACCCCCTCAAGAAAAGAATGAATTACAGTCACGAGTTTCAGCGGAACCCACTGGAAGTAGAGCTCTGCCAGAAACAAAATGACAGTCAGTAAAAAAAGACTTGTGTAATTTTATTCACGCAAAAAAACCATTGCCACAGGCGCACTACCACTAGGACGTAATGATCCCACCCACGGCGTATTCAGTTCGATGTTGCACGAGGGCGATTATATGGTCTCGTGTTCAAAATCATATTGTTTTTTCAGCTACTTCGTTGAACTACCTTTTGAAGAAGATGTTAGATGTTTCAGCTGGAAAGCACTGGAGGTGAATTCAACTTTGGCCCGCTGAGTGCGCCAACTTCTACACTTTCGAAGAAACTGGGAAAAGTGAAGAATGCTCTCTCACAGTCGACGTCGGCTATCCGAAACAACTTCAGTGGCAAAAAGCACAGTGGTGGCCGGATCTCTCCCAATGGACAACCGCATTTGCCAACAGCCAACAACAGACTCCCGAACTCCTCCGGCCGCAATGCAAATTCGCAAGCCCCTCTTAATGTTGTACCACCTGGTAAACATTTAGCTCCACGTACAGGCAACAACGGATTCAGTATAGATGACGATGGAACTCACGAAGGTATCCATTCAGGATTCAGACAGTTCCGCGATGACCCCACTACCCCTGTACCCGTACGAGGTGGATTCGCTGGTGGTCCGATTTTGAAGGTAAGTCAAAACCTTTCGTAGACAGCTTTTACGAAAAACGTACTCCAGGAAATTGGGAACATGACCATATCATAGTCCCCCAACAATGAATTAAGCGGAGAAAACTGTTGAAAATAGAGTTTGCGGCATCGCATTCAGTCGGAGGGAATGTGAGGAGGGCGGGATGGGCCCGCCTCCGGCTGCCTTCCTCTACCAATGATGATCGGCTAATGATCGAGATAGTAAGAAAATAACCAGTGGAGGAAACGCAGCAGATGGGGTCAGTCCATCTCTCCTGAAAGCGACCCGACTGATTGCGATAGTATCAACTGTACATTCCGCGATAATCGGACAGATCAGGCGGAGACTATCAACCAATGTGCCCTCCTAATTGGCGCAACTTTGTCACCAAAATGGAAGGTGGGGGCACCAGCGAGCGAGATAATCGTTGTTAGTCTCCGCCCATAAGCTTATCGTGCGATACGGAAAAGAACCACGAGAGGGATTCCGGGCTGAAGCGTGACTACTGGATAAGTGGCCAACTCAGAAGATACTCGTGGGTTATTCACGCACTTATCTTGTAAAATTTACAAGAAAGGGGATAAATCAGTAGTTCACTGCCTGCATTTCAGCCGTAGGCGGGTCTATGTTCATCATGGTTCAACAGCAGTCCTTCTCGTGGTTCCTTATTAGATGCAGTGCGCACGATGGCTGGGACGGAGAGTTGCTGCCAATGTCATTGGTGGGAGGCCTGCGAGAGGGCGTTTGGCCACACCCCGCTCTATCCTTCCACCAATGACATTGACAGCAACCGCCCGCCCCCAGCCATCGTGCCCACTGCCTAAAACAATATTTAATCATTTGAAATGTAGCAACATAGTAACAGCTTTTGTAGGCGCACACCTCCTATGTATATCCCGAGAAGAAACTATCCATTGAGAGCGTGCTTCTACAACCCGTCTGGTTATGCTTGCTGTAATCGAACACTCAATGATGAAATCGTAAGAACATTCGAGGTGAGGTTCTTAAAAGATCAGGCCTAACAATTCGAACCACATCAATGGATGGGCCGTTCATTTTGTAAGCTGAACTCATTAGTTCTTCACATCTTTTTTTCAGACGCTGGTCGCAGAACCGGGCTTTAATCTCTGCAACACGCAAAAGATTGCCAACGCGCTGCAAACGAATTGCGCTCGCAGGTTGGTCGTATCACAGTTCGCAAAAGTTGTGGGCTGAGAGTTAGGTACCTTCAGATTCAATTCCTATGCAGTTCAAAAGAGGCTTGCCAGAAAAGAGCTGTAGTGAAATCGGAACAATATTCACAACACTTTCTGGAAGACACAGTCCACCTGATCGCATGGGCGGAGACAGTCAACCAATGCTCTTTCGTTATTGGTGCGCCCATTCATCTAAGACAGCAAGGGACGGCGCGCAAGGATGCGGCTGACCGTTCCGCACATTCATTAAGCCGCATGATTGTCCACCCATTCATTAAAGCGTGCGTTCGAGGATACCCGCTACTCCACTCATTTCAACCAGCTCATATGCCTGATGATGTTTGAGCTAGACCAGATGTTCTGTCAGGCAATTCAGTTAATGTATACTTGAAGATCAAATGTTTCAGGTTCAAAGTGAACTTTGAAGCAATCGTCGGACTAGCTGATTATGCCCAACGTGTGAACTTCGGTCAAGACTTGGTCTGTAAATAAACCTGCAAGGAAGTTGTGGAATAGCAAATTAATTCTTAATAATGCGATTGACCACTAACAAACGTCAAGACCAGAAAAAATTTTCACGGTGCGTGAAACAGTCAGGATTGGTTATTGTAACCAATCTACCAATCAGAGTCAGACCTAGTGTAGCGATACGAGCTCGTGAATTTTGCCAGACTCGCATATCCAGCTTTCAGGAAATGAGTGTTCCAGGTTCATGCTCGTCTACGCAACTCCCACGCCTCCTGAGAGAGTAAAACGTGGTGATGGAGCGATAGTCGTCGATGAGAACACATTAAAACCAATCGATAGATTTTCCTCAACTACTGCAAGGGCCCATACCTAACGATTACTGCGAAGTCGAATTTTGAATATCATATCATCACTATTTATTGGAATTCGGTACCGTGGAAACATGTTTCAGCTGCATAATGGTATATGCCTCGAATAAAGTATTTATACTAGTACATGTATGAATTTGTGTGACTCACTGACGCGAGCGGTTGCGATGCGACGTCGACTGGTATGGCGGTGACAAACACTTTGCCTTTATGTGGCTATAATTTCAGCTTTGTTGAAAACAAGGGCGTAGCTCGGCTGGCAGGGGAAGTTACTAGATCCCATCGATAATCGCCTCTCGCAGGGACCTCGAAATTCCTGGAAGGCTGTGCGCAGTAGCTAATAAAAGTAACTAGCAGAGGTGCAAAAGCACCCTCATCCTCCTACGCCAACAGCGCCAAAACAAATCAATTGAGAAAACAGAAGTGGGACGGTAGATCCACTTTTACACATTGATTGGAACTTCAGCTCACGTTTAAGATGACGCAACCGCACGCGGCTAGCACTGGTCGGCACAGTCATGCACTCTGATGCGAGAATCGATCGATAAAAGGCATGCAAACGATAATCTTAAGCTTATGTTTGTAGGACAAAATAGATAAGACGACTTTATCTGCACTTTATAATTGCTAAGCTGGCAATGACCAATATAAATTATCCTTTATCTTCGCCCGAAGAGTTGAACAACATCAACATAGCAGTACCCATGAATACGTTATACAATGTCTGATTATTGATTATCAAGCCTTTGACCTACTACATACACAGCACTTCGCGATCAACGCGATGTAGCTGGCTAAATACAATCTGACTCAATCAATACACACGGTTTCCCCCGCTTGCACGGAGTAGGTCCAAAGAAACGTGTTGCTTGTAAAACAGTTGTCATCAGTTACTGAGTAATTTGGCTCGGAAATCCGGAAAACGAAAAGCCTGACAGTGTTAGCGTGGTAACTAGGAAAAGTAAAGAGAATCAGGATTGTATTCTGAAGAAATTCCTTAAATGAGAGCTGTTTTGCAAGCAACCTTGCAGCCCATATTTCCCAAAAATCGATAAACGTGCCATGCTTTATGAGCGCGCCGCGAACGCGTGCTCCCGTGTTGCCTTTCACGTCCAACTGGGAAATGGGCTGCAATTATACATACCGTGACCAAAAAAAACGAACAAAATTATAGAATAATGACCTAGAACCGAAGTTGAACTGGTGTAAAAATAAAAAAAAATCAAGAAAAAGTGAAACATCTCACTGATTACATCATTCATACTGTTTTCATTCATATTAATAACACAATATATCACAAATTCGGTGAACAATAATCGATACACATGCAACGCGGGGGGCCCTGAGCGGTCCAAAATGCTTTCCACTTCGGGGGTAACGAACGGCAACATTCAAATATAGGAGCAGAATCATCAGCCTGGATGATTCATATGATTTTCCCGTATACGGTAGAACTATGACGATGACAATTTGTGATGACTAGAGTGGATAAGAGCGCAGAATAGGAGCGGGGCCGTACGAGGAGGGACGGCAAATTCGTTTATTTATTTCGTTTGGACGCTGGTTTGACGGCGCTGACCATTGAACCGGGCTGGGAAAAGAGAAGGAAGCAGTCAGCACAAGTGAGCGGTACAGAATTGAGGGCACATTCGCGGTTGACGAGTTTACAGGGCCTCTGAAAGCGCTCACAGTTCCCATTGGTGAGTGGTCGCAGGAACCCCTCCCACTCGGTCACTATAGGTCACTACTGCCCCAGCCCATTCAGCACTGAAAGAAGAAAGATTCAAGGTATCGAAAAGCGGGCGAGTTCCAGAATCAATGGCAGCGCCCTCAATGTAACCGACCAGGACATTGGGTAGGTGAGTTGATTCTGATTTGAGAACGACTTCTAGCGCATTGCGAACACTAATATATACCTAATTAAAAATTTAATAAAAAATGCTCAGAAAATGAGATACGACGCTTCCGGAATGCTAATTACCCAATGTTTACAATCGCACTTTGTACATAACGAATAAGTATGTAATATGGAATAAACATGAACATGGTACAACGAAATCCCTTAAATGAACATTGATTTGAGCTTTTCAACAAACGCTTCTTCGTTTCTACTGATACTGTAACGCGTTTGCTCCAACTAAAGAGGTTTCCGAGTCTTTCCGTACGGGACCGGTACCAGCCAATGATGAACTATGATAGAGTTTATACCAGCCAATAATCGGCTCCGAACCTAATCGTAGATCATCTAATCGAATTAATGCAATGCCCATAAATGTTTTTCGCTCCATTCTACCGTAGTCACCAAGAACTGTGATCTGGAAAAATAATATATTATTGATTTTCAACATTTGCAGTACTGATAACTGTAAACGATAGGGCGTGTGCGAGAGCGTAGGTTAGAGCACAACCAACGCAGCTTTTTTCCACCAATGACGTCATACTAGACCCGCGGCAATTAGGGGGAAGACTGTTTTGGCCGCGCTCCAATCAGGGCACGTCCTGCCGCTGGGAAAATTTTTAAAAAGTACGACCCCCTCCCAACTTCGTGCTCTGGTGTGAGCTGCAACCCCTCCCCCATCCTAACTACTATCTTCCCTCTCTTACCAGTTTTTCCAACTTTCCTACGTTGTTTGCCGAAATCTCTCAAGAATTTTCCAGTTTTTACTCAAAATTTGGCCATCCGCATCCAGCGGCCACATCACTTTAGGTTGGGGATTCTGGTCGGGTCCATACGACCCCTCCCCTCCAACAACGACAATTACGACCTCCCCCTTTACAGCGTCCCTGAAACAAGAAAAATCAACTATCAAAAAAATTTTCTCAGGTCCAAATACGACCCCCCCTCCCCAGCGACCAAATACGATCCCCCACTGTTGGGGAATCGCCAACAGCGATGTGCCCTGCATCGAGCAGGGACGGTGGGGTATATACCAGCAGTGAAATGGGAAAAGCCGCGAAAAAGGGCGAAACGAAAACGAACGACCCCCTCCTACCGACGACAAGCAAATACGACCCCCCCCCCCTCCCTCCAGTGGAAAACCCATGAGACAAAAAAAATCGACTACCAAACAAAATCTTTCCGAGACCAAAATCGACCCGCCCCCGCTGGGGATTCCCTAACGCAAGACATGCCCTTGCTCCAATCCATGCTCCTTCACACGCCCTATCGTTTGCAGGGATCATGGCTATACATCTGAAGAACTTGACCATGTGTTTCACTTCATCGAAAATCGCCGATAGTGCCAAGTAGTCAGAAGCGCTGTCAAGGACCCTACTCAATTCAACGAGAAAGCAGTAATTTCCAAAGTAATTACCTGAAGCATTTTTCGTTTTGGGTTATCGTTGAAGATAAGATGTTGCTGAAATAGCGGTGCAGTGGTTTTCCTGACGGGATTCGTTTTTGCTTTTGCAACGCACGTTTTACCCTCCATAAGATATACTTTGACATATGGGGCTGAAATATATGAATAAGACTGAATCCAACGAATATTTTTTTCCAAAAATCCGAAGAAAATACTTACCAGGACTGATTTTGACACCGGGTTTCACAGCGAGATTTTTCGCACGAATGATCTCCACATCGATACCAGACCGGCCAGCCATTATGCCGATTTGAATCTCCCCAAGAAGGGGGCTTGCCAGCACTTGCCGTCCAACGACTTGCCCAGGACCGAGATTGTCAACAAACGTTCCAAGCGGACCATCAGGTAGCACCGGTAGCCAGCTACAAATTGATACTAACTTGTGACTCGACATATAGCAGCACTCCAAAGTTAAATAAGTTATAGCGTCGTCGTTGCGGACGAAGGGCGTGTCAGGCGGGATGAGTTTGGCGCGGTGCCAAACCCGTTCTCCACCAGTTGTGAAGCGAGCAAGTGACAAGACTGTATCATATCGTTCGTATCACTCGTTTTCTACCAATTTTTGTCGCATACCCGCTTCAACAACTGGCAGAGAACGGGTTTGGCGCCGTGGTGTGCTCATACTGCCTGACACGCCCCTTCATTCGCAGCGAATTAGAGTATAGGTTCTGGGGCGAATGTTGTGACACAACTTCCAACGCCGCTCTCGCCTTTCAGTGTCGATCACCTGAGCAACGCCCGCACTTGCAATTTTTTAGATTTATATTTATATCTCGTTATTTATATTTGCTTTATATTTGTGTCTCACGGAACTGTTAGGTGGAACACTGTAATTCAGTATGACCTGACGTTTCGACTGACCCGTCTCTTCAGAGCCGACAGTACCACCCTTTACGCGGAAAAGTCTGCTGTCACATTAGAGCACAAGCCAATTATAAACGCTTACTTGTCAGAAGTCGAGTCAGTAGACTCTTTGCTCGCTTGTTTGACAAACTGCTGCTGCTGCTGCAGACGATCACCAGCCGACAAGTTACCAGGAATACCAACTTCTTCAGAACGCAGGAACCCAGTACGTTTTCCTTCTGAAAACGATATATTATTCCCATGCACACGTATCGTCAATAGAGTACAGTAGAAAATACGCACCCGCAGCACCGGATTTTCCAGGAATGAAGCGAGTCATGATGCTCTTTTTGCGCTCCTTCATTGACTGCCCTGGCACTGAGGACTTGGCCGAGACTCCAGATGCTGATGGTACATCTTCTGAAGCGTATTCCTCCATCGACGTCTCCTGCATGTCATTCGACTCGTTCGGTGGTATACAACGGCGATTTATCGTTCTGAAAGCAGTACCATTATGGATGATGTTTGATGAATTGTTCTGAAACTGACTCGAAAAGTGCAATAGTAACGAGATCATGACAATATGGAACCGCAGTCGTGATCGCAGAGGATGCTGGGGCGTGTCATGGAAGCCGGGTTTGGCGGGACGCCAGCTCGTTTTCCACCAATCGCTTGCCGCTTGTCCGCTCCAACAATATGTGGAGAATGGGCTGGCACCGCACCACACCCACCTCCCTGACAAGCCCCAGCATCCAGTATTGGAATGAAGGCGGTGTGAAGGCTTACCTCACTGTGGGGATCGAATGTGCTGAATGAGTGCTCATCGTCTCACTACCATCAGATCCGTATTCCTGCGGTTGTTCCTGCTCTTGCATCATTTCTACCAATGATCGGCCATTACTTGAATGAGGTTCGTGCTGTGGATATCGTGACATATTCTGAGGAACGTATCTGGAATGAAGTCAATGTAAATAAAACCTTTTTCATAGTTGATAACGTCGCAACTAATCGGAGCGATGTCAGGATGAGCGGAGTGTTACCGCCTTTAGCTCGCTTGCTCTACCTGTGGTGATCAGTTAGTGATCTATTTTGGAAGGAAACAACCAGCGGTGGAAACGCCGTGCGTGGAGTCAAGCCATCGCTCTCGGAACCGCCCCGACTTATTGCCACGATATCAACTTCACGTAGGAAGAACTTGTCTAGCAGATGATCTATCATTAGAGATACAGTCGACGCTGATCGTATGGGCGAGGAAGCAGCCACTGTGCCTTTGCTCTTTCAGAAGACCTTCTGCACGAACGAGGAATACACTATGTTTGGATGTCCCCGCCCATGCGATCAACATGAAAATTGCCTTTGAATGCAACCTGATGGCGAGTGAGCGAATTTCTATAAGTGAAAAAAACTAACCGTCCATCTGGTGTCAATTCTCCGTCATCCCACGTTTGCTCAGGCAGATTTCGGTAGTATGTTCGTGATGCTCCCATTTCTGATGCCGTCACTAAAAGAGCAGCACCTCTTACTGATTATACCGTGAGTGGCCCTCACAACTCTGTAGAGCCTCTGTTTCCTCAGTGAAGTTCAGCCAGCAGGTCAAGCGTGCAGTGGAGCAACCACACGTAGGAAGGTGTCGGTCTTCTTGAGCAGGGAGTGGTCGTTTCAAATTCCTAGCGCAGAGTGCAGTACAATATTCAGCTGCTCGTAGTTCGATGAGTTTCGTTCTGAGAGAGAACACTTTCTCCCGGGAAAGCTTGAGGTGAAAAAGTTAGGGTGGCGGAGTGGGACGTTCCAATGAGGACTGAACCGTAGCGTCTCATTTCCCCGTGAAGCTGGGAGTCAAGGACCAGGTACCACGTAGGTGAATCTACAGCCTACCTCTAACTACTTATTGCACCAG